TTCATAAATAATTTAGATTTTGGAAAAAGGTGTGAAAATGACACAAAATCAATCAAAACCATGCTTCTTGCTTGAAAATGGCCAAATGTTACCTATGTGTGGAATGCCTGGGGAATATTCTTCACACTTTCACTTAGTAGTTTTTTAAAAATTTGAACAAATCTCTATTGTTTGATCGAATGTTAATCCCAAGTTAACCGGTAATGTAAAACGAAAAGACTTAAAGATTATATTATCTTTCCTTTGAGATTCAGACTCGACACAGGGAGCCCATTAAGTCTGAGTAGGGTCTGGAAACTATTGTATTTCTGGGAAAGAGAGGAAGTATTAGCAGAATTCTTGTTTATGAAGATTGTGAAAAATGAGTTTCTCAGAGAAAAGTAATAGAAACGAGAAAAAAGCATTGGTTAGAGTGCTGGAGATCGATGGTGGTAGTAATTTTCAGAAAGAAGTGCTTGGATTCGGAGTAAAACTGAAAAAAGATCAAGAAACGAACTCCTATATGTTTCTCACGAGTTCGTCGGTTCTTAGAAGTCCCCTGTGGATTCCTAGAGAAAGTAAGATTGTTGCTGAAAGGTACTGTTCTAAATATCCCGACCATTTACGCCGCTCAGATCACAGAGAAAAAATATACAAGGTGACCAGTTCTGTGGATGATCATGTATCTTTTGCATTCTATGATGGTGAAAGCGAGGAGGGATTTCTTGAAGTTGACGACGGTACCTTCTACGAGACCCTTCAGATGCATAACACCCTATATGCATATGCCTTTGAAGGAAAAGATATTGTTGCTTTGATATTTGAAGACAAATATTCAAGTAATGAATATAAGTTGACACGTGTTAGCAAAGAAAGTTTTCCAATTAAGAAAGCCAAAGGTGCACCAATAATCCACTACGATCAATGCTCTGATAAACCAAAGGTTGTTGGTATACTCGATATCAAGAGTGATGGCAATCTTTATCCTGTGTTTCTCACTGAAAAAAACTTGGAAGTTAAATCCGGTAAGATATATAAACAGACTGACAGAACAATAACTGTCCTGACTGATACAAACACAGACTGACTGAATGACTGATTCATTGATTGAGTGAGTGAGTGAGTGACTTGATGGCTGATGGACTGACTGGCTTACTGGCTGTCCATCTAACTGACTGACATGACTGTTGAGTGACTGACTGGCTCATCACTGACTGAATGACATGACTGACTTATTGACCGGCTGGCCAGAAAACTGACTGACTAGCTGACATAACTAACGAAATGACTGTCTGACCCAATGACTTGCTGGCTGACTGACTGACTTACATAACTGGCTGACCCCAGACTAACTAACCAACCAGACTTAATAACCCATTATTAAGTCGAGGGGTGAGGAATGAAGTGAGGATGTCAAAGGTATGGTGATGTATACCTATGATTTCATTATTTCTAATCAAAATCATTTATCTTTTAGTTGATCCTGAAGAAATGCAAGAAGCCGAGGGTAGGGCCCTATCATGTACTCTAAGAATGCAAAAAATATAGGAAATAAATTCTTGAAATATTATATTGTTACCCTGAAACAATCTCTGGGCTGATCTAAGTCAGG